CATAGCAGTGAAAATGTATGCTATGTCTTCTAATGATGCTGCCTAAGGGAAGCATGTATAATGTAAACAGAATTGGTCCTAGCACTGAACCCTGTGCAACTCCATAATTAACCTTGTGTGAAGTGTGTGAAGAAGACTCTCCATTTACATGCACAAATTGGAGTCTGTTAGATAGATATGATACAAACCACTGACAGACAGACAGTCAGAGAGAGTGAAAGACAGACAGACAGACAGCTACGTACGTTTGACCATCTTCACGGCCGCCTTTGTAGAATGAGAATTAATCAGACCAGAGATGGTTGCCTCAACAACACGTCCGAAAGCCCCTGAACCCAGCACCTGTCCTGAAGACAAAGAGGCAGATGGGGTTTCTGCGATGATAGAATGACTTTCTCATCTTACTTCAAACTGCAACTTACTCCAAAGCTTAAAGGTCAGTAACATAGTCTTTAGATGTGAAACAGTCCAAATGTGAATTTCAGCTTTGATATAAAAGAATCTGATTAGGAATTCAGTTTTTATACACAGTTGTCCCATTTTTTCTCAGGCTCAGGTGTGATTGGACAGTATCGTGGTTGGTTGAGTTTCTTGATGACTTTCTTGATGAAATCAAAGTTTTGCAGTTTGTTCCAAGTGCTCATTGGAACATTGAATATATTCTGCAGCATGAGGAAGATCTGAAAAACATCTGAAACACAATCTCCCAGGGGAAATTTCTGTTTACAATCAGGAAACGCCTTCATGAATGGCCCAGAATCCTCAGCTGCACAATCATCAATCTTCACACCTAGTGGAGGTAGGATGAGGGTCACTGAGAGTCAAATTGCTGAGACAGAGCTCCATAGATAGCAGATCAATAATCACTGAAAATTATGTGAAAACAATCCAGAAGTGTTTGAAGGCAAAAACAGGTTTATACCTGTTTGGAGCCAAAGACAAAACCCAGGACACAAAGACCCGTGCCGTGTAAGGAACAATGAGGGAGAGACATTGATGAATTAATCTCATTGTTACATAAAATATGGTTTTGCAGTCTTACCAAGAACTACATGGTCTCTGTCTATTTCCCAGGTTGGGCTGTAGGGCAGCTGGGCGGGGTCGAGGTAGGTGTACTGCTGTCCATCAGGACTCACAGACTCGATCACCTTCCAACGAACTTCATAATGAGGTTTCTACACACAGAAATAAAACGGAACCAAATACTTTGGTGGATTCATGAAGTTACATGAACATGCAGCAAATATTTGACGGTCCATGCAACAGTAATGGAGCTAGTACTACTGTTCAGCTAAACGTTTATTTCATCTGAATACTAACTTTCCTCCATAAGATGATGAGGATGATGAGGAAGATGACAGCAATGATGACCAACACCAGGACTACTGCTAAGACCACCACCTGAGACAGGAGAGCTGAACACAGATAACATAAGAAATGTTAGAAATAAACACAATAATTTACCCTAAACAACAAAAAAACAAACAAAACCTGCCAAAAACTGTAGGATTAATTATTATTTTGTTTTAATATTAACTTTTTTTAGCAGGAGGCTTGACTTTATCCCTCTCACCCAGTACTGATCATCTTTTCTTGTGGGTTTATCCTAAATAGAGCTTCTCTTATTGAAAGCAATTTTATTTATATAGCGCCAAATCACCACAACTGCCTCAAGGCGTTTTATATTGTAAGGTAAAGAAGCTAAAGAAGAGACAGAAACCTCCAGCAGAACAAGGCTCAAGGACCGGTGGGGGTGAGGGGAGGGTGCCGGTTCTGTCATGATGCAGAGTCTAGTGACTCCGTGTTTATGTTTGCGATTATTGATATTGTTTCTGGTTATTAATGATTTCTAGTGCTTAGATGTTCCTGTGCCTCACTTTTGTTCCCTCTTGTCATCCCTGTTTCTACTTTCGTGTGCCTCCTGTTTTACTTTGACAGTCTGTGTCGGGTGCCGGTTTCTGTTTTGCTTTCTCCATGTCTCATCTTCTTCGATTAGTTACAGCTGTGTTCCCTTCCTGTTCCCTGTTTCCTCATGTGTGTATTCTCCGTTGCTACCAGTCAGATCGTCTGTTCATCGTCCCCTGTGTATCTCCACCTGCATTTCCAAGTTTCAGGCTTTTCTTTGTATTTGTCAGTTCCCTGTTTGCCTCTGTTTTTTTTTTTTTTTCCCGCCAACAATTACGGCTTGCTTTTTGTTAAACATTCACCTCCACTCCATGTGTCTGCATTTGGGTCCACCCTCTAACCCCGCCATGGTCTGCCAGCTCAGACAGTGACAGGTTCTCCTGGCTCTTTAATATTTCAGGTTCCTCTTTTTAGCAGAAGACTTGACTCTGTCACATCCAGCACTGATCATCGTCCTCTGAGGGTTTTCCTAACCAGAGCTGCTCTCTTTGTTGAGGCCTCAGTTCTTCTTCAGTAGATTTTCTTTAGAAATAAATTCTTCTTTGTCTCTCTGAGCTCCTCCTGAGATGTTTGAGTCTTTGTACCAAACTCAGTGAAACTTCAGCTTCTGATCATCTCCTCCATGTATCTGCAGCACCTTTATTCAAAGTACTGAACATCTGGCAGGAGATCCCGATGTTCACATGCTGACCAGATGAGTTATGGTGTGTTAGTCTAAGTCACAGCATGAGCTTGTCTCCACTTCTCTAGTCACATTTCACTTTTCAGCTCTTCCTTCATGCATTCAGCCACTCCTGTGACCTCTGTGATGGACAGGAGCTCTGAGGAGCTCTTTCTCCTCTGTCAGCAGCTGTTTGTGTGCTCAGGATGTGGACGATGTTTTAAAGCAGACATCTGAAGACAGTGTTTGAATGAACGTTCTGCCTCAGTTCCTCAGAGAACCCGCCTGAGCTCAAACGCCTGCAGCATGGATACGTACAGCTGGAGATGACTCGCAGGTCCTTCGCTTGTCTGCCCACCGAGTTTGTGGCTTCACAGCGAACGGCCGACAGAGAGCTGAGAGTCTGGAGGGTCAGCATGCTGTGTACCTGCACAGGTGGAACAAACACACACAGAGCCACCGGTCAACTTAATATGTTACTGTTTCCCCTCCCTTCTGATGACATCACTCTCTTGATATCAGCGGTTACCTGGGTGACACCTCTCTCTGCCACCATAGTAATGTTCTCCTGTAGCGTCATGCCCTCTGAGTCTTTTGATTGGCTCCTCCACCCGCCATTCAAATGATTGCATCTGCAGTAGGTTAAAGGACAGGATCACCATGGTAACACCAATACTGTTACACTATGTGTGTGTGTGTGTGTGTGTGTGTGTGTGTGTGTGTGTGTGTGTGTGTGTGTGTGTGTGGTGTGTGTGTGTGTGTGTGTGTGTGGTGTGTGTGAGTGCAGTGGTGTGTGAGATTTGGTGGACCTGTTAAGTGAGCATGGAACAGGTGTAACAGGTAACAAGAGGGGGGTGGGCGATCCAAAATCACATCAAAACAAGCAAAGCGTTACATCCATGAATCTGAAGGGATGTGATGTGGAGTAAAACACACACACACACACACACACACACACACACACACACACACACGTGTTATTAAAAAGTAAAATGTGCCCTCTGTTTAAATGCATACACAGATGTCTGCTAGGAGGCGGAGCCTGAGGTCATGTGATAATGTTACTCCTCAGCTCACACAATACACTCGTTACTGAGCATGCACACAAAAGGTCTGTAAATGACAGCATGATGTCACATGATGTGGCATACACACCTGGTGGCCATGTGGCTCACCTTGTACCTCCAGGTTGAATGTAACCTCTCTGATGTCGTCATCATTGGAAATAGTTGCGGTGTAACTTCCTGTCTGATCCATCTGCACGCGCACCAGCGTCAGTGTGCTCACATACCTAATCAATCAAACATTTAGCTCCTCCTCATTTTAGCAACCATTAGCACATATGCCAGGGCTGTTGCATTAATAAATACACTCGGGGGATAAATCACTGCGAAAACACAACCCTCAACTATGCAATATTTTCTTTTCTTTTTTCTTTTTAACTGTGGAATATTTCCAAGGAACTGTGCAATATTCTAAGGTCTGAAGCACTGTGCGGCAACCGTATTCTCACTTGTTCATTCTTATATAAAGTCTTGTACATACTATATTTATTTATTTATTTGTTTATTTGTTTAAAATTTATTGCACACATAAACTTCTTTCCTTTTAAAGTGCCCTTTTTTCACTTGTGCTGAATGGGTTTGCTTACAATTTTTGTTGTTTGCAAACACAATGACAATAAAGATTCTGATTCTCCTCATCTGAGGTCTGACCTCTGACCTACCGGCTGTCTGACAGGTGTGTGGTGTTGATAGTAGTGGTTTCTGTGGCAACAGATTGGTTCTGTCTCGTCCAGATGATGGTGGGGGCGGGGTGGGCGTCAATATCTACACTTAATTCCAGCGTGTGATGGAGGAGAGATGACACATTGGTCTCACCTAAGGGCCACAGGTAAACATAACCTCGGTCTGCAGAGACATGGAGAAACACACTTTACATGTGTGTGTCTGTTCTATGTGTGTGTGTGTGAGTGAGTGTGTGTGTGTGTGTGTGTGTGTGTGAGTGTGTGTGTTTGCTGACCCAGCACTGTTATTGTGATATTTTTCATCACAGTTTGTCCCTGTGTTGTCTCCTGCACCGTGCAGCTATAAACACCTGCAGGAACAGTACGGCATTATTTCCCTCAGCACAGTTTCTCAGCAAGCTGCACACCTTTACCTGAGCCACCGAGCGCCCTACCTGAATCTGCCACTGTTGCTGCAGTGATGTTAACAAAGGAGCGGATCTGATTGGGCAAGAAGTCCGTCAGCGGCTCAATTTCCTGCAAAGAAAAATCATCATAGTTAGGTGACACCAGACAGACAGGTACAGACAGGTACAGGTGGGTAAGCAGACAGGAAGGCAGACAGGTACCTGTCTGCGGGGAAAGCCCCAGGAGAAGAACACCATCTCTGTGTCTCTAACTGTGCAGTTTACTGTGAGGACCTCACCCTGCTTCAGCACACTGCTGGACACCGTCAGGTCCACTTCCATTACCTTTGGGACTGAAATACGCAGGTGCACAAAAATGATACAGGTAGCAGGGGAGACAGGTAGGAATATGACTTGTTTATGAATGAATGGCAACCTTTCAGCATAAATGTGAACTAAACATTATCAGAAGGTAGACAGACACAAACCTATAATGCTGAAGACGTAGTACGTCTGCGACTCCTTCTCCTCAGCTCCGTTTGTGGCGATGCACATGTATGATGTGTCATTGAGGTGACCCGTGAAGCCACGCCCCGGCTCATATGTCATCCCGCTTACCAGCCTCCTGCTGGGGCGCTCGTACAGCGAGACATTGAGGTTCGGGTTGGACACCATGCAGGGAATTGTGCCTTCCTCTCCCTCCTTCATCACCACACCCAGATCCAATGGGACAAACCATTCATCGGGACCTGAGGGGGGAACAGGTAAACACGGAACATCACGAGGAATGCAGGTACTCTTAGAAAAATTATGGTTCTTAAATGGTTCTTCAGATGTCTTCATGGTTCTTTAAAGAACCATCATACGTCAAAGAACCTTATTATTTTGTAGATGGTTCTTCAGCTATTACAAATGGTTCTTTAAAGAACAAAAGGTTCTTCATCCTTAGCAATCTAAGTTTGATGGAGTAAAATGGCATAAATATTTATTTACTATAATGAGGCTGTGAATTATACTGTGTGTTTTGTTTGTGTGCATGTGTGTGCGAAGGGGGAGGGCGGGTTACCTGGTGATTACCCTTTAAGAGCAGATGGTAGGAAACTGAATATTCAAATAAAAGTTAGAAATACTTAAAAATATACTGGTGGCAGGGGTGGGGGCCAAAGCCTAAAGACCCTACCCCCAACACCCCTAACCCCGCAAACCCACTGATCACAAATAATGTGGTAATAGAATATGGAATTTATTATTAAGACATTCATGAATGTGGTGAGTTAACAAACAGTAGGCACAATACACACATTCAAATACTGTACTTTAGTTTTACATTTTAATAAAGTATTACTATTTTCGGCTTTAAGGCATTACTCTTGAGATTATTATATATATTAGAAAATACAGCATAATGATAATACTAGTTATTGTAAACTTTACAAACCACCCAACAGTATGTAAAGTCAAATTATAAAATATAAGTAAATAACAATTGCACAACAGAATGTCAGTGTAATGAACATACTTATGTGTTCATTACCAACACAGTTACTTAGTTTTGACAAAGCACACTGCTTAGGTAAATGATCTGAGTATATGTTTATCACTGAGCAATTTGTGAATATGTGTTTCGAGCCAAATGACAGGTAGAGAGAGTGACGTTAGAACACTTTGGCTTCTAAAATATGTGGTTCAATTGCGTGCTGCGTACATAACGTAATGTCAGCTAGACCGATATTAAAATTTAAAATATTGTTAAAGTCACTAAAATGGCGCCTGAAGCCTGTTTTGACATGAGCTCTGTTTCTGCTCTAGAAACTCTGAAATTCAGTAGAGCTGAGCCGTACATTAAATACTCACATGAACCTGTACTTTGAATTCTGGAAGAGCATGAAGGTGCATCTTTGACTGTTCCTGTATAACTTATTTTCGGACTAGTTGACAAGTTATGCTCCAGTCATTTGATGTTTCCAAGATAGATGTCCTTTTGTAATATAGTTAAATTTTTTTTTGCATATTTCATTTATCCACCATCATACGTTAAGCCAAGAAGAGGTCATTATACTAACAAGAGGTATCAATGCTGGGCCAAAGTTGAGCACGGGGTTAAAGTTTGTAATCCAGCCAGGGTGTAAATATCACTCAGCAGCCAGTCGTAGAGATGAAGCAGGTAGCATCAACACATAAATCTTCCCAGCTTAAATCACAAGACCAAAAAGCTGTAGATTTTTCTTGTTTGCACAAATTAATCCAGATTCACACTAATTCTGTTCACAGCTCCAACAAAATGAGGAAGAGGAGGGAGAGAAAAACAATTAGATTGAATTACAATTGGATGGAAGTCGAGGACAAGGAGAAGGAAGCTTAGGATGAGGAGGAAGAGAAGCAGCAGGAGCATCTTTAGGGATCCCTATGATGTCATTGAGGTTGGTTTCATTAATATGGTCCTCTCACAAAGAAAGATGACTTGTTTTACTTCACCTTCTTCCTGTATTAAATAGTGATGTGCAAAACGTTGTGGAAAACCACAGAGCACACACGTATAGTGCATCTGCAGGTAAATGAACATCAAATCTCACAGACAGACTGAAATCTGTATATTTATCACCCTTATGATAAAACCCATGTCAGTCATTGGTTTATGGACTTTGTATTTTGAAGCCTCAGCATTTGCTATGTGGGTTTTTGTGAGCCATTTGGAACCCTATTAGGATGAGGGATCAGAATCTGGAGTCGTGCACACTACTGTTTCATTTAGTGTGTATCCATAAGATTTGTACAGCAGATCCAAGTTGTGCCTTGAAAACAGGAACGTTGTCTGCATAGAGGAGAACTTTAATAGCAGGCTTGTACAAAGTGAGGCTTTGTGCTCACATTTGCTGCAAACACTCGTTTTAATTCTGTCTCCCTGTGTTGATGCAGAATTCAGTTGAAATCAGGCAAGAATGGGACTTTCTTTTACAATGCGTTCTTGTGAATTGATTGTGTATCGCATACATTTGATTTAACTTTCTGCAAGACAACAGTCGTCCGTTGGCCAAAACAGTTTTCCAAATACCTCCACATGATCAAGCCTGGAAAAGAATAGCAAAAATGCAATTTGTGTTTCTGTGTTCAGAGGCAGCGGCGAGAGGGGAGACCTCGGCTCATCCAGCTGGAGAGCCTGACCAGGAGGAGTCGAACATTAACTCAGCTCTTCCAGGGCACGCTGCAGACTTGGCTGCTGGCATTGGCGAGGGAGTGTGGCCGCCGCTGGGATGAAGTGAACGCCAAACTGGAGTCCATCGCAGGTCGACTGCAGGTATGCGAGTCAGACCTACTGAGGAGGGTTTCACTTTTCTCTCTTCTTTATAATTGACTCTTTTCTCTCTCTCTCAGCTCCTTGTCTCAGAGTGGGAGGGATTTGAAGCACAAAGGGAAGAGCTTGTCATTTGGTTGGCTAATATGGATGTCCCCCTGAGTGAGGTTGACCAGCTGACAGGAAACACCTGTGAAAAACTGAAACAACTGCAGGTGTGGGGTTGTTTTGATATGACATATATTTGATATGAACATACGTCAGAGACATTATCCTAAACTGGACTAACAAAGGACCATGAGTCAACATGAAACTGTACCATTACAGAGGAATGTGAAGTTCATTGATAATTTTAATCAAAACTTGTTGTTGAAATATTTTTACTGAAGGAAAAACTCCCTTTTAACAGGAAGAAACCTCCAGCAGAACCAGGCTCAGGGAGGGGCGGGGCCATCTGCTGTGATTGGTTGGGGTGAGAGAAGGAAGACAGGATAAAGACATGCTGTGGAAGAGAGACAGAGGTTAATAACAGATATGATTCAATGCAGAGAGGTCTGTTAACACATAGTGAGTGAGAAAGGTGACTGGAAAGAAAAAACTCAATGCATCATGGGAATCCCCGGCAGCCTACGTCTATTGCAGCATAACTAAGGGAGGATTCAGGGTCACCTGGTCCAGCCCTAACTATATGCTTTAGCAAAAAGGAAAGTTTGAAGCCTAATCTTGAAAGTAGAGATAGTGTCTGTCTCCTGAATCCAAACTGGAAGCTGGTTCCACAGAAGAGGGGCCTGAAAACTGAAGGCTCTGCCTCCCATTCTACTTTTAAATACTCTAGGAACAACAAGGCCTGCAGAGCGAGAGCGAAGTGCTCTAATAGAGTGATGTACCAGTTATTTTGAATTCAATTCTGGATTTAACAGGAAGCCAATGAAGGGAAGCCAAAACAGGAGAAATATGCTCTCTCTTTCTAGTCCCTGTCAGTACTCTTGCTGCAGCATTTTGGATTAGCTGAAGGCTTTTCAGTGAGTTTTTTGGACATCCTGATAATAATGAATTGCAGTAGTCCAGCCTGGAAGTAATAAATGCATGAACTAGTTTTTCAGCGTCACTCTGAGACAGGATATTTCTAACTTTAGAGATGTTGCGCAAATGGAAGAAAGCAGTCTTACATATTTGTTTAATATGTGCTTGAAGGACATGTCCTGGTCAAAAATGACTCCAAGGTTCCTCACAGCGTTACTGGAGGCCAAGGTAATGCCATCCAGAGTAAGAATCTGGTTAGATACCATATTTCTAAGATTTCGGCCGAGTACAATAACCTCAGTTTTATCTGAATTAAGAAGCAGAAAGTTAGCGGCCATCCAGGTCTTTATGTCTTTAAGACATTCCTGCAGTTTAACTCATTGGTGTGTGTTATCTGGCTTCATGAGACTAGATAGAGCTGGGTGTCATCTGCATAGCAGTGAAAATGTATGCTATGTCTTCTAATGATGCTGCCTAAGGGAAGCATGTATAATGTAAACAGAATTGGTCCTAGCACTGAACCCTGTGGAACTCCATAATTAACCTTCAGTGTGTGAAGAGGACTCTCCATTTACATGCAACAAACTGGAGTCTATTAGATAGATATGATACAAACCACTGCAGCACAGTACCTGTAATACCTACAGCATGTTCTAATCGCTCTAATAGGATATTATGGTCGAACAGTATCGAAGCTGCACTGAGGTCTAGCAGGACAAGCACAGAGATGAGTCCACTGTCAGAGGCCATAAGAAGATCATTTGTAACCTTCACTAAAGCTGTTTCTGTGCTGTGATGAGCTCTGAAACCTGACTGAAACTCTTCAAATAAGCCTCTGCAGATGATCTGTTAGCTGTTTGACAACTAGTCTTTCAAGGATGTTTGATATCAAAGGAAGGTCGTATTTATTTTACCCTACTCAAATTCAATTTATGATACATTTTATTTTTTAAAGATTTAAAAAGGTTCTTTAAAATGCTTTTTTAAAGAACCATTTGAAGGACCTTTTTTAAAATGGTCCTTTGAAAAACCATTAAAGGTGCCCTAAAGAACCATTTCTTGATGGTTCTTTGGGGCACCTTTAAAGGTTCTTCAAAGAACCATTGTTTGAGCGGTTCTTTGTGGCACCAAAAAAGGTTCTTCTATGGCCTCAGGCTAAAGAACCACTTTTGGTTCCAGTTGGCACCTTTATTTTTCTGACACAAACAACAGGAGGAACACACGTTGGAAGATGGTTACCTTGTCCAGGTATAAAGACATCAACATTTCTGCTCTGATCAGATGATGGCTCCTCACAGGTGTATCTCCCAGAATTCCTCCATGTGATGTTAAAGAGATGCAGGATGCTCATGGAGCCTCGATTGTCCAAGAGGACCCCATCTACTGGCGGGTCCTGAGGAAAATGCCACTTCACCTCACTCCACCCCAAACACTCCTGAGGAGAAGAAAAGATACCTGAGAGAGAGGTACTGGAAGACATCTGAAGACAGAGACAGGTAGGTGTAGAGACAGACAAGTGTTACTGACCACTGTGTAATTGGAGTTAGAGGGGACCAGAACTTCAGAGGCGGATGGCAGCAGCTCCAGAGAAACCGCCCCTTCAGGATGAACCAGGAATACACCTACACACAGAGACAGGTAGACATTCAGGTGTCACCTCTAAAATCCTACTGATGCTTTTACGTTATTACTCACCCAAGAGAAACCCCAACAGGCTGATATTTCCTGTTCCCCTGATGGATGCCATCATGGCTGCCAACCCTGAGCAGTGACAGGTGGAGGAGAGGTTTCAAAATAAAAGTCTAACATCATTAAAACACAAAATGGACTTCCTGTGAAGCTCTGATATTTGGTGGAAGCTTTAAAAAAATGCAAATAGTTGAATGTGATAAGTGTTGGATGCTGCAGGCTGTAGTAATGATTGTCTGCTATTACTGCTCTATATTCCAGAGAGATGTGTTTACTGCATGTCAGTGGCAGCTGGAGACTGCAGAAATAATAAACTCAACGAAGTTACTTTGAAGGGAGGCGTCTAAGAAGCTTCATTAAAGTTGAACAAGTTTATTTAAACCGTAGCAGTCTGGACTTTTTTCATTCCCTGCATTCAGTCGGCGTCTGTTAAATCTGTCGAGGTGACTGATGCTTCAAACAGACGTGAACACATTCCTGTGTGTGTGTGCATGTGTTTTCACACAAAGCAGCCACTCACAGCCATCCCTAGGGACTTCAGCCAATCAGAGCCCTGGTTGATGGAGAGAGAATGAGGAATGCCAGCTGACCACCGAAGAAGAAAATAAACAGCGAGGTATTTCCTGTGGGCAGCAGAGAGGAGAGCAAGCCTCATCTCAGGGTTTAGCCAATCACAGCTCTGAAGCTCTGTGCCCTGACTAATGCTCAGCAGGTGATGTCACCAGTCAGCTGCCGAGTCTTCCTCTTCATCCCTACCTCCACTGTCACAGAGTGTCAAATTTGAGCGTCCAGATTGGTGGCTTCAGTCTCTCTTGTGATGTCACTAATGGAAGTTTTAAAGGGCTTTTTATTAACTCTCTTAAGGCTGAAGAGAGAGGAATGCCTCAAATGTGTGCTTGAGTAAAATTTGCTTTGAAGTACTGATCTTGTGATCGGGTTACTGACCAACAGAAGACACTCTTTTACAGCTGCTAAGTTAAAAGATCACACCATTGTTTTTCCAGCCTGCCGTGTGTGTGTTGTGACTGCTGTGTGTGTTTGGTTCAAACTGACTGTGCAGCACAAAGCTGATCTCAGATCGAATCACCAACATGTTCATCGGCCGACGTTCTTCCAACTGTGTTTTTGGATTTTTGTCTAGTTCGTGCTCAGTAAAAATCACCTTTAAGCAGCTCTGATCAGAAATATGAGCAGCTACAAGACATCAATCGGCAAAGTAGGAGACAGCGAATCTGACTTATGGTGATCTATTTAAGTAGTATTCCAGATAGGTAATCATACACCTGTTCATCAACACTGAATATTCTACATGTAATCATTTCATATCCTGTCACACTCACCTACTCTACAGGTGTGCCACCTGCCTGTCACTGCTCCATACTAATGCTGTGATCGGTCACCTCAGACCTGTAGCACACAGCACACACACACTGTAACACAATTAAACTGATCAAACTGCAAACCACGAGATTTATTGTTGGTCAAGTCGATGCATTTGAATGATCAGCATGGCAAACATAAAAACAGAAATCTAACGAGAAGCAGGTGAGGCCCAACAGCAACCAACCACAGTTCAGATAATGCACAGAAAAAATAACCGGATATATGCTCGTGTATGATGTTATTACCACACAATAAGTTTGATCAGAATATTTCTGACACTTAAAGTATTACAAACACCAAACATGTAAGGAACCAAACTGGATGGTCAGGTAGGGCTGTTGGATCTGAAAAGTTGATTTTCATAGATTAGACTTTCATCAATAATTCTTCAGTCTGTGCTTTTAAAATGTTTTGAAACAAGTTCAAACTTATAAAAACAGTAAATCTAATAAAAATTAGAATTAGTTCACCAAACCAGTTAAAAACACGCAAACTGAGCAAATACACCAAACCTACAAATGGAAACATCCTACGAGAAGGTTCAAAATATGTTTACACTCATATATGCCTCTCTTCAGTGTCTTATTCACTTCAATTCTTCATGATGAAGAAGAGAACATATGCATATTCTGACTCTGTGGTGACACACAGCAGGCTCTCCCTGAGCCTGGTTCTGTCAGAGGTTTCTCACTGTTAAAAGGGAGTTTTTCCTTCCCACTATCGCCAATGGTGTTGGTTACGTTACTTGAAAATAATAATTAGTTACTATTAGTGATTACTTCTCCAAGAAATTAATCCAGTTACTTTACTGATTACTTATTTTCAAAAGTAATTAGTTACTTTATTACTTAGTTACTTGTTAAAAACATGGTACACAACCTGAATACGTAATAAAGCAATAGGCCTTTCTGCTCAATTCTATTTTTTTCTGCATAATCCATCATATAAAATGACGCTTGTATGTCATTGTCAGCTGCCTGAGACACAGGTTTGAAGATGTGAGGTTTAATTAGAGAGAGGATCAGCTGTGGTTCTGTGGTTGCTCAGTTTTTGAAGATGTTCTGAAGCTGAGACATGAAGAGGAACCTGCTGCCCAATCAGAGCTCCCACTGTGAGGAGATGTCAGAGTTCAGGAGGAACGTCTCTTACTGAGCCCAGTTTTATTTATCTGATTTTAATCTGTCAGTTTAACCCCAGTTTCACTGGCAGTAAAATACCTTTATAGAATGGTAAATGGCCTGTATTTGTATAGCACTTTACATAGTCCCTAAGGACCCCAAAGGACTTTATACATTCAGTCATCCACCCATTCACACACTGGTGATGGCAAGGTACATTGTAGCCACAGGTGCCCTGGGGCGCACTGACAGAGGCGAGGCTGCCGGACACTGGCACCACCGGGCCCTCTGACCACCACCAGTAGGCAACGGGTGAAGTGTCTTGCCCAAGGACACAACGACCGAGACTATCCAAGCAGGGGCTCAAACCGGCAACCTTCTGATTACAAGGTGAACTCACAACTCGGATGGCGCCACGATCGCCCACAATCACTCAGTAACCTCCAGGCCGACAGGTTAATCAGATGTTCTGAACTGGTCGTAGGTGTGAATCTCTCTGTGGCAGCATTGTGATACCTGTGACAAGTGTGATAGGCTGCAGGCAGCCAATGAGCACTCAGGACGGACGGATGTGTGGGCAGTATTTCCTGTCTCTCTGTGGTGCTCCTTTGTTTGATTTTCATGCAATAAATGTGAAAAAAAAAGACAGACTTGTACCCGCAGCGGGGACTCTGACTTTTCTTTGGTGATGCAGAGGATGTGAGGAGCTCCTGCACGCTGGAAGTTCCGCCCCCTCACTGGCCTTCAGCCTCATGATTGCTGCACAAGCTTCCCTCCATCACTGATCTGTTCAGCAACAAACTGCAGGAGGAATACCACATTCAGGTGCCGATACTCAGCTGATATTCACCTGACCCACTGCTATGTGCACCAATGCAGTGAAGGTATTGCACACAGGACTTACTCGCAGTATATACTCCCAGTGCTCACAGTCTTTACTCTCAGTACTCAGAGTACTTATTCGCAGTACTCACACTATGTACTCACAGCTTTTACTCGGAGCACTACTTAGAGTAGTTAAAGTATTTACTCACAGCAGTATTTCAGTATTTCTAGTACATGTAGTACTTGTACATAGCAATACTGTGTGGAATCTAATCAGGATTAAGAGAAAGAAAAGAGAGTAGAGTTGGTTCAAACCTTCTGAAGCTGCTCCTTTTCCTTCTCTTCTTCTTCTTCTTCTTTTCACTGTTTGTGTCTCCTCTTCTTCTCTTCAGTTCATTCCAGACGAACGACGAATGGAAACCAACAGACTGATTCACAGTGAGAGAGGGAGACATAGGGCCAGAGTGGAGAGAGAGAGAGTCTGCAGTACTGAGGGAAGAAAACGGGTGAGAGACACAGACGCACATAGAGAGAGAGCGAGAGAGAGAAAGAGCATCTGTTTTCAATCTGTCTCTCTGCCCTCCCCCCTTCTTTGACAGGAAATGAACCGAGTGCAACACACACACTCACACACACACATACTGAAACACACATACAAAAAAGTCAGTTTTCTGTTTTACAGTCAGACTTACTGCTTTGTGTGTGTGTGTGTGTGTGTGTGTGTGTGTGTGTGTGTGTGTGTGTGTGTGTGTGTGTGTGTGTGTGTGTGTGTGTGTGTGTGTTTGTGTTGTGTATGTTAGTTTTTTTTGTAGTAGACTTTATTAAACAGAGTGCTATGTGAGAGAGTCAGCTTACTGACTGATCAGTAATAATTGTCAGGGTCCTGGGTCTGAGTGACCCAGTGTCCCTGAGCAGTTTTGGACTTGTCTTGTATAGTATGTATATTTGGTATTGCTGTCCCTCTTCTCCCTGTTTGCGGGTGTGTGTATGTGTTTCTGCAGGCTACTTCAGGCCTGGTGAGTGTGGCTCTGCTGGCGGACTGGCCACATCCGAAGCTCCTGCAACACCGCCTGTTGTTGATCAGGGCTCGTCGGGGGAGCTATTTAGGAGAGTGTTGGAGCTCCCACCGGCGCGGGATCATTACGTTAGACTCCCAAGTCAGTGTGTGTGTTTAGGAAGTGCAGATCGTGTGTGTGCCCACGGGGGTCAGTGTTTAACGGCTGCCTCTATTGTTTTCCTACAGGAGGAACGTGAAGAGGAAGGGCAGCACGCACAGGGTGCGCTGGTGGGCAGCTCTGAACACCACATCCAGAACACCCTGGATTTTGTTGATAAGGTGAGAGATGTCATTATGGAGGCAGATGAAACCATGGTCTCGTATGACGTTACATCTCTCTTCACTTGTCAGTGCGCCCCAGGGTGGCTGTGGCTACAATGTAGCTGCCATCACCAGTGTGTGAATGGGTGGATGACTGGATATGTAAAGCGCTTTGGGGTCCTTAGGGGCTAGTAAAGCTATATAAAGACAGGCCATTTACCATTTACTTGCATCCCAGTCACGGAAGCGTTGGAGGTAGTCCGTAAGAGATTACAGGATGACACCAACCTCAGCAACAGGACCACTCTCAGCATCGACCAAGTGTGTTTGCTTTTGGAACTGTGTCTTCATTCCACCTACTTCACATACAAGGGTCAGTTCTACAGGCAGAAACATGGGTGTGCCATGGGCTCCCCAGTTTCACCCATCGTGGCCAATTTGTACATGGAAGAAGTGGAAAAGAGGGCTTTGCTATCCTACCCTGGAACACCACCAAGCCATTGGTTCAGATATGTGGATGACACCTGGGTGAAAATCAAATCTCAGGACGTACCACATTTCACGGATCACATTAACTCGGTGGACCGACACATCAAATTCACCAGGGAGGATATGAAAAGTGGCAGGTTAGCCTTCTTAGACTGTGAGATTTCCATCAGTAATGGGGGACGTGTACCGTCAGCTTTTAGATGTCAGGACACTACAACACAGAGCGAACACCATCCCCACTGACACAGCGGACAGGGAGGCAGAAGAACAGCACATCAAGAAGGCCCTGAGTAAATGTAGTTATCCCAGCTGGACTTTTCAAAGCGGGAAAGGCTCCTAAAGAAAGCTCCAGCCAATCCAGGAGAGAAGGACAACCGCTGCCCAAGCGAAAACCTGTAGTGATCCCGTACGTGTCAGGAGTATCGGAGCAGTTGAGACGCATTTTTTCTAAACACCGGGTCTCTGTGGCTTTTAAACCCCAAAACACGCTGCGCCAAAAACTGGTCCACCCCAAGGATCGGGTCCCCCGACACAAACAGAGTAACATAGTGTACGCTGTTAAGTGCAGGAGGATTGCCAGGATTTATACATCGGGGAAACCAAACAACCTCTGGCGAAGCGGATGGCACAACACAGAAGAGCTACCTCGTCAGGCCAGGACTCTGCAGTCTATTTACACCTACAGGCCAGTGGACACTCTTTCAATGATGAGGATGTACACATCCTGGACAGGGAGGAACGCTGGTTTGAGCGTGGAGTCAAGGAGGCCATTTACGTGAAAAGGGAAAGACCATCTCTGAATCGAGGAGGGGGCCTAAGGGTACATTTTTCGCCATCTTACAATGCTGTGATTGCAGCCATTCCCCAACTCTCTGTGAATGGTACTCATGGTTATTGATCAATGGTCATGAGAATTTGCATAATTATGATTAAGGAACTGACCTCCCAGCCCATTGTTCCCTCAGTGGGCTGGTTTCAGTCATTATGCAAATGTACTGTTTATAAGATTTGGGGAAACCTGCAGTCAGCTGAGACTGAAGAAGTCACTTGGATGAGTGATGAAACGTTTCTCCCACATAATGTCATATGCTGTGGGAGTGTCTGGTCGGGTGTGGTCCAGGTTCCTGTTGTCCATCCCCTGGGGTGGAGTTGGCCAGCTCATCACCTGCTTCCAATTTCCGGGGCTCCATCTAGAGGGTTTTTAAGCCAGCACTGCCTGCTACTCCTCGCCAGTTCGTCCTGCTACCACCCGTGGTAAACTTGGCCTCCTCTGTGCTCAGACTCTGTGTGCCTGGATCGTGGGTTAATGTGTCCTCCGTCTCCTGTATTCTCCAGATTCATCACCCGTCGTACACACCAGCAGTGCTGGTTCTGTTTCCATCCCGTTCTCCCGTCTGCCCAGAACCCGAGGACCACACACTCATCTTCTCCTCAGCCTGCCCTCCAGCCCGTACTTAAGATAAGATAAGATAGAACTTTATTAATCCCTCGGGTGGGTTCCTCTGGGAAATTCGATTTCCAAAAAAAGCACAGCAACGACCGAAGTTACAGAGTTACAGAAAATTATATATATACACACACACACACACACACACACACACACACACATATATATAATACAGAGACAATATACAGTGGGGCAAAAAAGTATTTAGTCAGCCACCGATTGTGCAAGTTCCCCCACCTAAAATGATGACAGAGGTCAGTAATTTGCACCAGAGGTACACTTCAACTGTGAGAGACAGAATGTGAAAAAAAAAATCCATGAATCCACATGGTAGGATTTGTAAAGAATTTATTCGTAAATCAGGGTGGAAAATAAGTATTTGGTCAATAACAAAAATACAACTCAATACTTTGTAACATAACCTTTGTTGGCAATAACAGAGGTCAAACGTTTACTATAGGTCTTTACCAGGTTTGCACACACAGTAGCTGGTATTTTGGCCCATTCCTCCATGCAGATCTTCTCGAGAGCAGTGATGTTTTGGGGCTGTCGCCGAGCAACACGGACTTTCAACTCCCGCCACAGATTTTCTATGGGGTTGAGGTCTGGAGACTGGCTAGGCCACTCCAGGACTTTCAAATGCTTCTTACGGAGCCACTCCTTTGTTGCCCGGGCGGTGTGTTTTGGATCATTGTCATGTTGGAAGACCCAGCCTCGTTTCATCTTCAAAGTTCTCACTGATGGAAGGAGGTTTTGGCTCAAAATCTCACGATACATGGCCCCATTCATTCTGTCCTTAACACGGATCAGTCGTCCTGTCCCCTTGGCAGAAAAACAGCCCCATAGCATGATGTTTCCACCCCCATGCTTCACAGTAGGTATGGTGTTCTTGGGATGCAACTCAGTATTCTTCTTCCTCCAAACACGACGAGTTGAGTTTATACCAAAAAGTTCTACTTTGGTTTCATCTGACCACATGACATTCTCCCAATCCTCTGCTGTATCATCCATGTGCTCTCTGGCAAACTTCAGACGGGCCTGGACATGCACTGGCTTCAGCAGCGGAACACGTCTGGCACTGCGGGATTTGATTCCCTGCCGTTGTAGTGTGTTACTGATGGTGACCTTTGTTACTTTGGTCCCAGCTCTCTGCAGGTCATTCACCAGGTCCCCCCGTGTGGTTCTGGGATCTTTGCTCACCGTTCTCATGATCATTTTGACCCCACGGGATGAGATCTTGCGTGGAGCCCCAGATCGAGGGAGATTATCAGTGGTCTTGTATGTCTTCCATTTTCTGATGATTGCTCCCACAGTTGATTTTTTCACACCAAGCTGCTTGCCTATTGTAGATTCACTCTTCCCAGTCTGGTGCAGGTCTACAATACTTTTCCTGGTGTCCTTCGAAAGCTCTTTGGTCTTGGCCATGGCGGAGTTTGGAGTCTGACTGTTTGAGGCTGTGGACAGGTGTCTTTTATACAGATGATGAGTTCAAACAGGTGCCATTCATACAGGTAACGAGTGGGGGACAGAAAAGCTTCTTACAGAAGACGTTACAGGTCTGTGAGAGCCAGAGATCTTCCTTGTTTGAGGTGACCAAATACTTATTTTCCACCCTGATTTACGAATAAATTCTTTACAAATCCTACCATGTGGATTCATGGATTTTTTTTTCACATTCTGTCTCTCACAGTTGAAGTGTACCTCTGGTGCAAATTACTGACCTCTGTCATCATTTTAGGTGGGGGAACTTGCACAATCGGTGGCTGACTAAATACTTTTTTGCCCCACTGTAAATAAAATATACGAAGGGGATAAATAGAATAAATAGGAATAAAAATAAAAATACAAGTGAATTGCACATTTCAAGTATTGAGGTCTATTGCACTGTTGACTATTTAACAAAAGTATTGCACAGTGAGGTGAAGAGGCACTACAGCTTAGTTGTTCCCCCCTCCTTTGTCCTCCTGTTTCCCCTCCCTCTCCCCTCCAGAGAGGAGTTAAACAGTCTGATGGCGTGTGGGACAAAGGAGTTTTTAAGTCTGTTAGTTCTTGTCTTGGGGAGAAGCAACCTGTCACTGAACAGACTCTTCTGGTTGTTAATGGCCGTGTGCAGAGGATGCCTGGCATTGTCCATAATGTCCATCAGTTTCTTTAATGTCCTTTTCTCTGCCACTGTCACCAGAGTGTCCAGCTTCATGCCGACCACAGAGCTAGCCCTCCTGATCAGTTTCTCCAGCCTGGATGAGTCCTTCTTTGCT